TAATTAGTTATCGGCGGGAACACTTCCGCTCGTGAATCGACTTTTCGTATCGTCGAAATACGTCTTGACGCTCATCCTCCGAGCTTGTCATGCTGTCTCCGTTCTCGCGTTGCCAACGAATATGCGAATGTTTCGGCTATGTTACCGTGCAGATCTAATCTTCGTCAAGGCCAACGATACAGGATTCCGGACGTTACATTAGCAGTCTCGCCTCGGTAAATAGACGCCGCAATCGAAAACAGAATATTTAGCATCCTTGGATATAAGCACCCGCGAACAGTAGCTTGCTACTTGAGAGAGTGCATCCTTTTCATCATTCTTTATAGATAAACACATTACACGATTACTTATTCACTGTATATGCTATTTTTTATTAATGATATTATTAAGGAATATTAATTAATATTAACATAAAGTTTAATTAATATTAAAAATATTAATTACTATTGACATGAAGTTTAAATATATTACTGGTAGAAAGATACATGCGACTCTGATAAATTAATAAATATACATTGACACGTCGGTAAATATATAAACAATCTTTCTGTCATCGCTATTATGTTACTGACAAGACATGTAGAGTCATCACAATTAGAATTTCAGAATACTTCTTTTCTTTTTTTTTTTTTTTTGCATACTTGTATGCAAATCTCGTATTTCCGCGCAACGGTGACTCATTATTCTTCTAGACAAAAGCAATGAAATAACAGTGATTCGTGCAGGAAGCAGAAAGGAGTCGCCGATGTCGCGCACTTTGTTTTTCAAGTATGATACAAAAGCGGAAAATAAAGACGAGTACGTATTAGAGGAAACTACTACTGATTATCATTCATTTAAGAAGTGTTTACGTTTCATTAAATGACAAATAATGAATGAGTAATGCCTTATTAGAGGTTCAAAAGTAATTAAAATAGGAAACTTGCAAATCTTTTATTTTACACATAAAATTTATAGACACATATTTAATTCAACTATTTCCGAGATAATAAAAAGACAAAAAAAATAATCTCATAGTACTTTATATCGAAAGTGGCTAAAAATATACAAAAGATTATTTTCTGAGATAAGTAGCGTAATTTTACGATCAGTCACTCGAAGATTCATCGCTTTTCAGAGAATATACCGCAGATGCTTTTTCTTCGCAATACATATCCGAGAACAGGTGTAAATTGTGTCGCGGCAAGGAAATTAAAAAGGCATCGCGCAAGCCGTCTTGCGTCGTGATTTTGCGATAACTGTTATTTATCGAGGGAGCACATATCTTGGCCCGCACGACTTGAGCAGAAAATTCCAAAGATGGTCATCCGTGACCTCTGGACCATCGTAAAGTGTTAAAAAAAAAAATTGTCTTGTTAATCGACAATAATTGTAATGACGCGGCGAGCGATCGGGAATAGAAAGAGAAGGGGAGGGGGAGGAGGGAACGCATTTCGTAGTTATTTATTTATTCTCCGTTATATCGTTATGAGAGATAAATTCTGCAATGGTCGCGAAGAATTCGTCGTAATCGCGAACGCGAATCGGCGAGCACTGCCTAAAGCGATAAAAAAACGTGGGAAAAAATATGGGTGGAACGCGAGAGTGACGCGATTCTGCGATAGTTGAAATTTATTCCGCTCTTGCACCTGTTGCACAGTTTGAAATTTAACGCACAAGAAGCAAGCGTGCTATCTGTCGAGAAGACACCGATGTAGAATATCGTGAATTATATTTCTTTATATAATCGCATTCTTTTAGGCCACAAGGAATTATTGCATAAAGTTTTCCCAATTTATTATTATAAAAAATATTTCTATTTTATATAAGAATATTGTCGATTATAATATTTTTCAATATACAAAATCACATGTGAGAAATAACCAACTCTTCATTTTCTTCGAAACAAGTAACGATACTTTTGTGGCTTCTCGGCTTACGGATGTTACAGCATACATACCATTACAGACAATTCTCGAGGATACATTCCTTGATGCTTCGCTAATGCGAGTCACATACACGTCGGAATATTACCGATCATCTCACGTAATTATATTGCGTGCGATTTATTCGCTATATTCAATAGAAGATTAACACACGTATTCCGTACATCTGTCGTATACTTAAAAATCATCTTGTGTATGCGTGCTGTATGATTCACTAGAAGCGACAAAGCAGTTTTACGTTACACGTGCGCCAGCGTAAAATTGACATTGCATATTATTTCTCGCGAACGTCAATAAGGCTGCATGTAACTCGTTATACGTGGTTATCTTGTATACATACCGCGAGTGTTTCGTAATTACATAAAGTTTTCCGGCTCTACCGACTGTCTTAATCGCAATCAGGGGAAGTAGACAGAGGATGAAGGAAAATATATTTGCACGAAAGCGAACGAAAGATATATTTGAACAAGCAGAGAGGAGAGAATCATAGCTAGTCACAATTATTCTTCACAATGCGTAATACAGTTTCTCATAAGCGCTGTCTCCGAGAGAAAAGAAAGGAAGGGAGGGGTACTATGCGGGTATCAGGTGAGATTCGCGCTAATTACGTGTTCGCTTAATAATTACGACACACCGGGGCTCTCTCGCATACGATTAATCAAGGCCCTCGTTTCGCCGTATATAGTCAGGGGAATAATTGAAGTTTTGACGAGTTCCCAGTCTAATGATATCGTTCGAGTAATAAGAAACGCGGTACCGCGCGCACACAGATTCACGCCCTGCTCCACCTCCGATGTCCTTGAGGATGAAAGGGCGAATTGGCGCGTGGATCGATGATCGTTAATTACCTCGGGAAGCCTTGGCGAGGATGCCAGAAGAGTAAATTGTTATATACGCAAATTGTTCGCTGCGCGATTTTATTTTGAAAAAAAATTTGCAGCACGTCGGGTTTTATAGCTTTGACAATTTTGTGATTTTTAAAATATTGATAATTTTGAAAATTAGAACATATTTATACACAGATAATTGAGATAATTTTTTTTGGTAAAATCTTTTTTTCGTTTCCGATTATGATATATTAAAGATTTAGAAAATCTCAAATTTTTTCGTACGCTTTATTTCATTAAAAGTGCATCGAGCGAACGATCTTCTGCGTTAGTTATTGCCATTTGACAATGCAAAAATCTACCCACGATATCCATTTGCAGTATGTTAAACCTACACCTACTTATTCTTGTTAACGCTTTAAAACGGTTTTCTGCTTTTACAACTGCTATTTGAATTAACATAAATGACTTGATAAGTCAGAAAATCTATTATTATTAGTAATTATTTCTCAGGTTCCGCACGACTAACCCTCATTTACCTTCTTCGACATACATGAGATTATTAACCGCGAAGCAACCAAACCAGTAACCGTACTATTAATTGGTCGACGCCTAGAAACCGGAATTTATTCCGGAATCTGGAGTCTCCGTATCAAGTTTTATCATGACCGTGACCGTTACGACAGGGCCATGTTTTATCGTATGCGTTGTAAAAGTTATGATCACGTTTTTAATAAATTACAATATATTATGAATATATATTATAACATTTATAAACATATATATATTATTCTACCATTATTTATAATAAAAGTCATCGTAAACATTCTATAAAACTGTGTGTGCGTGGTTATAAAGCTAGATAAAGTTTGTATGTCAACATTATATCTAATTTATTACATCTCTCTCACACACATAAAAAACCATATGTTTTGAAATAAACATTATATATTTACATATAGGGATTTATTTCAAAAAGGCTTGAACAGAACGATTCTTTGTCTTTTGTTCTCTCCATTTTCGATATGACAATTTTCCGCATTTTTCAAAAGGAAAATACTGCGTCACGATACACACCACCACACGTGCGTGGCGCATATCACACCGAGGGGTCCCTTTCGCGAGACGGACGAGCAATGAACGGTATGTGTATATACGTGTGTGTTAAGGCCCGAGGGGGAGATTCAGTCCCGATCGCCATGGTAACCGCACATGAGTCGCTATCCCCTCTCTCTCGCTCCATCAGCGGACTCCGATCGTGCGTCTTCGGGCAAACTCGTGCGCGCTCGGGTAGTTTCGCGCACGAGCGAGGCCAACCGGTCTCTCACGGTTCACGGTGGTAACTGGTGGCAGTCTCCGCGCGACCAGTTTCGATTGTAGACGCATTCGCGGCGATCGGTTGCTCGGTACTTTTAACCGTCGCGCTCGCGTTCCACCTCGCGTATCGTACATCGGGTCGACATTCGTGTTGGCGTGAATCGCGTGACTTCTATAGCGTTCTTCTATAACGGCACGCGAAGGAGTTGGGAAACGATTCGTCGCGTTAGCTCCCCCGCCGTCCGTTTCCGGAAGTGCGACGCAGAAACGGAACAGCACCGTGAAGGACTGCACGTATACATAACCCGCGGAGTGTGGTGTTTGCGAGAGAGAGCTGCGGTTGCACGACGCCCGAAGGCAAATACCTGTGCCCGCCGCCGACTTTCGAGCCGACTCGACGAGAGGAGAGGTCCGCGTTTGCTGCCCGCTATCGCTTCTCGGTGCGATCGAAACGGCGCGTCCTTTGGCGCACGTATCCGCAAGTGGCCGCGATGATTCACTAATGCGCGATCGGAATCCTTCGCCTCCTTCTCTCTCGTGGTGTGCGATACTACGAGGAACTTGTCGCGACGGTTTCGTAAACGTCTCTTGATTCTCCGGAGTGTGTGACGCGTGCCTGTAATATCCCCCTCTCCCCCTCACCCCTTCCTCTCCCTCGAGTACTTTTCTCGCAACAGCGTCGATATTTCGCGCCGCAACGTTTAAGAGTGCTTTCGAAACCACCTGTAGCGCGTTTCACACGACACAGTGAGACAGTAGTGAGTGAAGTCCGCCATTCGTGAGGCCGGCGCGAAGCGGCGTCGGCACCGACGCCCGACGCCAACCATGCGCGACGATTAGGGCTGCGCGCGTAGCCTTCCCGTAATATTCGCACGCTGTGGTGTTCGCGGCCGATTTATTAATGATGACCATGTTCGGCACCCTCGTGCAGAGGCTCACCTCGCCGGTGACCTCGCCTACGAGTCCGCGACGGCGCTTCAAATCGCCGTCGCGCTGGGAGGTGCAGAGCGACCCGGAGGACGATCCGGCCGCGCCCGTGAGGAAGTCGAGGGCCAAGCATCTTCTGGATAAGCGCAAGAGCAAGAGCCGGGCGCGCGGGCTACATTCCTCGCAGTCGGACCACTTGCAGATGTGCAACGGCAGCGGTGGTTGGCACGACGTCGTCTTTCCGCCTCTGCGGGGCACCAAGAGCCTCGGCAGGCTCGACGGCATGAAGGAGGTAAGCCTCGATGTGCCCCTCGTAGTATCGAATATTCGATTCGAATATACTCGCATAATTTCGACTTACTCCGATTTTTGGCAATGAGAATTTTCAAGAAATAAATTTCCATATTTTTTCGTACGATCAAGATAATTCATATTTTATTACTTTCGAATTTATCTAACGTGTCTGACAAATATTTTCACTGATTTATCGGGTAATACAATTCATTCTCTCTGAGAAAATTCAAATTGTCACGGACTCGATTCGCATTTTTCGAGTATTCTCGTAAAACATATATAGCGACATAATATTGTATAATCAAGATTTATTTTTTTTTTTAAATAATATAGAATGTTTTTGTGAGAGAAATAGAAGGAAAGAAATAAAACTTGATTTTTATCTTAATTAAACTTTATTGAGATGATATTTTTTAAGCGTGCATTGAGGCGAATTAAATGGAAATTTGTAATCAATGCAAATTTCATGTACTTTCATATATTTATAATCTCACTTAATGTCTAATAATGTAAGTTTATACGTCTGTAAAATGGATCGATTTCACTTGACGCAACGATCTGTTTCATATTAACGATCTTTAACTGGGCAAGCTATCGAAAGTGCTCGGAATCGGATCGTGACGCATGACTGTAAATATTTTATACGCGTCGAATACTATGCGAATTTATGAATTGGCCAATCTTTTTTTGCCGTTCTGGTAGAGTAGATACTAGGCATTCGCAACTGACCATGTTCTATACGAAATGGCTCGAGGATAAAAAACGATAGTTTCGCGATTAGATAAAAACTTGCGCTTTGTAAATATTCACCTTTTTTTTTTTTTAACTAAAATATACAAAGTTATTTCTAGATAATAATACGATTAAAATAAGCATTGTTGGAAAATGAATATAAAAGCTTTACAATTGATAATAATTAAAATAATGATTAGGATCTTTTTATTTTCTTACTTGAAATCGGAAAATGATAAAATCGCTTCAATAAGAAATTAAACAATATCTTTATTGGAGAAATATAATAGAATTTATATCAATTGTTTATCAAATTGGCAAGTTTTAATTTCCAAGTTTTTTGAATAAATGATTAATAGTATTTATGAGATTTTTGCTCTCAAAATTTACTTGTCTGTCAAAATTGAGAATAATAGAAACAAAGGGGTACGAATACGCAAAGTCATTTTTTGAGAAAAAATAATCTTGTTTTCTCAGAATTCATATATTATATGGCAGTATTCTTTTGTAACTAGATGCCTCTCTCATTTATCATTCGGTTAATTTCTCCACTTTTAATTAAAAGATGTTAAGCGAGTTGCGATGCGCGTATCGCAACCTGATTATATAATTACTCTGTAACGTAACGCGTCGGTTTTTACATCGTACATAGTTGGCGAGTTTCACGTAACTCGCACACGTGGTTATGTAGCGCGGCATTGCGGTATTTTTTTTTTTTTTTTTCCTTTTGTGTGT